ACTTAGCTACCAGTTGCGAATTTGAAGCCTCCTCGCTTCAAACAAATTTGTTGGATGCCTTCATACTGGGGCTACGTGATATACTCACAGTAAGAAAATTCTTGCTAGAAAGAAATCTAAGGCAGGAAACGGCGGTATTTATAGTTACAGCATTAGAACACATGCAAAAAACATGATTGTAGGATTAGATATAAAATATACCATAACAGGTTATAGAATAGCAGATGATAGTAGAAAATAGCAAGGACTGTAATAACTAAATGTAGTAAGCCATATTTGAATGTAGAGCGAACAAACTGTAAATGTGTCTGTGTTTAATAGCAATACAAAATGTCTATATTTAAGAGTAGATTACAGTAACAGTACAATCAAAATACACTACACTTACTTACAATAGTAAATGTTAAACCAGGTAGAAAGAGACAAAGTTAATAAATGAAACAAGCAATTATTTCATTGTTATTCACAAGAAATTATTATATATTTCAAGAAATCAGTAAGAACAGAACAACACAATAAACAATTTTGCTGCCATCCTTTTTGCAGTAAGTTGCTCAGTAAATGTCGTTAAGCTTTCTAATCTTTACATAAATCTCGTGGAAAAGTAGTTATAAGCTAGTAAACGTTGTATAGGATTTTAAAACTAAATGGCCTCGTTTAAATAGCATAAAGGCATCTGGGAAAATTTCATTATTAGCTAAAAACAAATAAATTCTGTGATATTATATCGAAATAACGCTACCCTACTTTCATTTTTTTCTGGGCTAGCGATAATTAAATTAAGTTCAGAGCAGAATATCTTCACTAGGAGAATTATAAAGAATAAACCTGTTCGGCTGAACTGCATTTGTATGGCCAGTTACTACTGAATCACGATTAATTTCTTGAACTAAATTGTGTTTGTAATGCATTAGTTTTCTTAAAATTTTTAAGGATTTTTTTCTAACATTTTGATCAAATTGTAAATATAAAAATGGATTGATCACGGCAATGCCCACTGTTGACGAAAATGAAGCAAATGCTAAAATATACAAAATTATATGAATTTTTCCGATTTGCCGCATTGATTTGCCTGTAATAGCCATGCCAATGCCAGTAGCAAAGAAAGGCCAGGTGCTCAACAAGAATGATGCCGTGATAATAATTAGAGCTTTTATAAATTTCTTCTTTCTAAGTTGGTCGTCTTCTCGGTTAGCATTTGTTATATTGCCTGGCCTAACGTAGTGTATTTGATGATTAACAATGCTACCATAACAGAATATCAAAATTCCTGAAGGAATTAAGTACAAAACGATTGCCATGGATATTAAATATACAGATTGTTGTTGATTAACATTAGCATAATCGCAAAGTTCTGTATCATCAGGATATACATTATTAAACCAAGCAGCTGGTAAATTAATTCCGATGGCAATAATAACTGAAACAATTTGTGCTATCACAAGAAATCGATTCTTGTGCTTCCTGTACAACTGTGAATGCGGTTTTATAATGGCAAAGTATCTATCGACGCTTATCATGCACAAGGTAAAAACTGATACCGTATAGGAAGTTACCACAATATAGAAAAAGATTCGACATAGATAGCCACCAACGATATAACTATTGTCGAAGGCAGTTATAAATGTGAAACCAAGAACCGCGGTAAAGGTTGATATTATATCAGAAATAATCGTTACTCGAATTAGATAATACGTCACCTTGTAAAAATATGAATCTTTAGTGATTACATACAGCACGAAAATATTCGCCAGTATTCCGACTGTTAAAACTGGAATAGCTGCTATGACTGCATAACCATTAATGGTAGAAAATATGCTTTTATGATCATGATTACTAGAGTTATTCATGAATATATTGAATGAATGATTTCGTCGTAGTCGAAGTACAAATACCAGCCAATTAGCTGATGCACTTAATAATTACAATGATTCCACGACAAGTATGTGTTATTTTCAGTATATGAAGTTAATTTGAGATGTTATGTGAACGATTCGTTTCAAAACTATAATTTCATACTCATCCATACACGAAGGAATCAAACATAACAGTAAACTCGTTGGTCGACCAAAAGTGAATTGTATGAAAGATGTAACTGGAAGTTACGGATAAGTGTTTAATTCCAGCAATTTTAATTAATTTAATTAATGATATGATAAAGATAATGAATTTAAATTAAGCTAAAATAATGAAAATAGAAAAACTATTTATTACGTAGATGAATAATTAGATAAATTTGTCCTTTGTAATACTTGTCTGGTGATGATTGTTTGACAATAAACTTTACTGGGAAAATAAAACAATATTTTATCCAGTTCAAACACAAACTTACAACGACAACATCAATATAATTTTATTTTTTGAAATTACTGTCAAAACAAATACAATATAATAGTGATAAAAGCATTTTACTTAAAATTATGATGATTTCATAAGGGACTATTATTACTGATTGTCTCAAAGTGACTTACCCTAACTAATTGTTACCTTATTTTCATCAGATAATATGCTATGGTATTTGTTGAAATACCGTTACCTATGACGTTATACGTGTTACTGTTCAGTATTTAGAATCGTAATGTAGGTAGATATCAGGGAGGACAAACCTGACAGTGAGCTCATGGTGTTAATATTCTGTAATAGTACCTTTTTTCTCGTTACAAATTTTGAATTGTAACATTCATACGTAGAATAATTTGAATACATTGAATAAACTACCTTTAAAATTTTTCAGGTACTACAGTAGGAGGACCATGATGATATATTTACTCTATTACATTCATACCGTACGTCATTAATCTTTGTTATTTTGTAATAGTATCATTTCTATTTTAAGATTTCATTAAAATCAGTCTCCATTAGCGATAATTTCTGTAAGGCTTACTAAAACCTCTATACTACCTTCCACATCATTAAATAGATATTGATTGTAACTGTTATTTTTTCAGTTTTACGCGATTTATAATATATTTTGTAGCAAAGATCTTTGGTTTTAGCCTGAAAGCGCTCATCATAACGTCGATTAATTCATCATCAAGTTTTCAGAAATTGTTCTCTCTAATTCATGCTATTACAGTGCCTCTATGTCAAAAGGAGTAATTGATGTTAAGTGTTTTAGCCGTCTCTCATGCAATAAACTTGGCTATAGTGAACTAGCACTGCCCAGTATGGTAAGTCTGGAATAGCTTTTTAATTTTAACCAGTTTTGATCGTATCTGCAATCTGTTATCACGTAATAAAAATATCACCTTATCTTATCCGTTAAATAACACTGTGATAAAGTGATCTTCAAAACAATAAATCAAGAACAACAGTTTCTTGCAAATTTCGCTGTATTACAGAAGTTAGGTTCGTCTAACTACCAAGGACTATCTGACTATCTGACAATCTACTTATTACAGCAAAATTCACGATTTGTATACGATTAGTTACAGAATGCTTTTACTGTAACAAATCTTATCTTGCCCATTAAGTCGCAAGATTTTACGTCTTATAGAGTTGCATCTTTAACGATGATATTATAAAATCTAACTAAGGTTGATGGTTATAGTAAATGAAAGCT